AATGTTCACATAATTTACGAACTATACTAAGAGACTTAAAAACAATATATTGTTAATAGTTTAGATAATTTGAGTTTGTTTTATCAATCATTATTCATTACCCATTTAATTGGGTAATAAAAGTTATAAGTTATAACTCCATAACGTGAATGACAATATTTGATAGATGTCGATTTGATGATTGTATATTTCGGGTAAAACCAAATAACCAATTAACTGGTTAGACTCTAACCCAGGGGTCTCCAAACTATGGCCCTCGAACAAGTTTTAAACGGCCCACAGCACCTATAAGGCGGTGAATAAAAATATATAGATATCTAAATATATGTGTAATTTAAAAAGAAGAAGAAATTTGTCCAGAAATAATTGATACTTTTAAAAATATTAGCCTTTCTTCTAACACAGTTACCCGTAGAATTGACGATATTATGATATTACGATATATATCTGTATTTGCTACGACTTATTTGTGCGAACAAACTTTTTCTAAAATGAAATACATCAAATCGAAATATAGATCGACCATGACTGACAAACACTTGGAGTCAATTTTGAAAATTGGGACTAGCAACATACAACCTCAATTCGATCGAATATTAACAGAAAAACATCAATTTCATACTTCTCATTAAAAAAAAAAAATTATTAAAATTACAATGTATATATTATTATCATTTAAATTTATACCAATTATATTTAAGTATATTGTAGACAATATTTTATAAAAAGATTTAAAGTTAACTTATATTTGTATACCTATATTTTCATAAAATTAAAAATTATGTGTGTTAATAAATTTTTGGCCCGCTAAGAGCATTTGATATTTTTTGTGGCCCTTCAATAAAAAAAGTTTGGAGACCCCTGCTCTAACCTATTACTATGTGTAAAAATATATATATATATATATTCGGGAGGGAAATGCCACAGTCTGGAGGGGTAAACGTCTAGTACCGATAAAATTGTTGGGGAGGAAAATACTCGGGGAGGGGGAAGTCCAAATACTAATGATGAAGTCATAAAGATGATGATTAAAACATATAAATCAAATAAATAATAATCTAGAGCCATAGTATTGTTTTTGTTTGTTTTAATATGTTTTTATGAAAAAAAAAAATATATATATATTTATATATATTAATATATAAATAAAATGCTTATAAGCTTTATAATAGCTATTACTAAATGTATAATAACAATATAAAATGGAAGAGTGGAAAGCTGTGGAAGGCTTTGCTCGTTTACATTATTTTAGGGGCCACTGGCTACTCGAGTACAGAAAAGGGAAACATTTTGAAACAGTGATGGAAATGATGGAATTACTTTCCTGATGGGAGATTGGTGGATATAATATAAGGCAATTGTAGCATGTAAGAGTGTATAATGTCTCCTAATTGGATACACCAATATATATATATATATATATATATATATATATATAAAGGCATAAGAGTTGAAGTGTAGCATTATTTGACTTTTAAACGTAGGTAATAAGAAATTAACTATCGTTGGAATTAGATACACTACACATATTATTACGGTATATAATTTAAAAAGCTTAGCCAAGTTTGGTGCATATATTATGTTTTTGCTTCTATAGTCCGTTCAGAGTTTTCGCTGCTTTTACTATTGATTTCATCTATTTCTATCTGCACACTCTTTTAATTTTGATCCTAATACACATTTTTCAAGATCTGTTTTGATTATGTCTATTCACCTCTGCTTTGGTAACCCCTAGGTCTTTTTCCGTTCATGTTACCTATTATTTCATATTTTATAATACCAATGGATCTATAGGCATGGCCACCCTATTCCAACCGTTTACTTCTTATGAGTGACTTGATATTATTGGCTTTGACTATATTTGGTATCCTTTTTTGTTTGTTGTTGTTCTTCTTCTTTTGTATTACCCGTTTTCTATGATAGGGCCATATAGATACGTATCAACATTTTTCTTCATCGCCCTCTGTAACCAACCACGTTTTGMATCTATAGGATATAAATTGTCGTAGTTAGCTTGAGTAGAGGGTTGATTTTGATTTTATAGATACTAACTTTCTCAGTGCAAATTAATCTTTGTTACCAGATGTAATTTTTTTATAATTCTACACGTCGTAATATCACTATATTTTAAATCACACATAATATAAGAATATAACTAATATATAATATTATACGAGGTGGATATATTGGATCCATGTCAATAGATAGTAATATATTATATACACACCACGAATTAAAATATTTTAATTCGTGATACATATTACACATTTTGATTTGTACGTATCATCTCAGAATAGTTACTTATTACTCATTATCTTACTTCTTTGTGTTTACTATGTGTTCATAGGGAAGTTAAAGTAAACATTGACCAAATAATTGATAGATTTGGAAAAAGCGACAACGTAAAAAGACGTTTAGAATTTATTATTTAACATACAACATTTATAAATTAAATTACCTATGTCCTATACCTACCTACTATTATGACAACATTTATAAATTATAAATAAAGTATCTATAAAAAAATGTAGGGACCCCCCCCAGATTTCTACTCTGGATCCGTGCCTGATTTACGGGCAGATTAAAAGTTCGATTTAATCTAAAATTATGTCTCACACAATATATTTAGAGCTTTCCTGTGTTATTTTACAAATCTTTACTATTTAAGTGCTTCCTGTTTTCTGCAGTGCCCCCAACATTTTCTAATTTCATTAAAATAATGACGGCATAATATTTCTCAAGCATTCAAAGGTATTTTGTTTATACCCAAACCATAAGATCGTATGCGATAAATAAATTATTAACGAAATTATTACGCAACCTTGATTTTTCAGTAAGGCTAAATTATTTGTATTGATTGTCATACACACGTACACATGCATATACACACACACAAACATAAATGCATTTAAAACGATATACATCACATAGGTATCTACATTAATTGTAATTTGTATAGCTCAATTCTTGATATATTTACAAATGCGATGAACTTATGTAATTATTTAGTTGCATCGTAATAACTTACAATTAAAAGATGCAATAAAAAAGAATATTGTGTAGCTTACCTGTCATATATAAATATTTATATTTACTCAAATCTATTATTATTATTATCTAATATGTAAATGTATCTAATCTATGTAGTCTTTACAAATTAAGTATATTCATGTTTAACGGTTCAAAATCACAAATGAAATCTATACATTATTATATGTAGTACTAATAATA